TTTGCATGTATGTGCGAGTGCATATGTATATATGTGTGTATATATGTATGTGTGTGTACGTACGAATACATGAATGTTTTCTTTAACTTAACACAGTAAGTCTGCGCACCGACTTTAAATTAAACGTATTTTTAAATGCTCTCCTCCTCGATTCTCAAAAATTTAAGTAGGCCTTGCTGAAAATCAACAAGACAGCAAACGTTGGCTCCAACGGCCGGTGGAGGAGCAATTGGATGGTGGTAGAGCGGGTAAGTAGAGATGTATGTATGAAGATGTATGTATGTATGTAGATGTATGTATGTTTGTAGATGTATGTATGTATGTAGATGTATGTATGTATGTAGATGTATGTATGCATCTGTATGTACGTATGTATGTATGTACATATATATATATGTATATGTATGTTTGTACGTGTGTACATATATATATATATATGTATGTTTGTACGTGTGTACATATATATATATATATATGTATATGTATGTACGTTCGTATGTATGTATGTACGTACTGCATATATGTATGTATGTGTGTGTGTATGGATGTATGTATGTATGTATGTTGTACGTATGTACATATGCATGCATGTTTGTATGTGCGTATGTATGCATGAATGTGTGTATGTGTATATGTTCATATATGTTTGCATATATACAAAACTACTTTATCCAAACAGGAATAACGCTTACATATTGAACAGACATACATATGTGCGAAAGCGCAAGTTTATAACATATACGACCTGTTTCCACATAGTTCTTTTTATACACTTAACAAATAATTCATGTTGGTACCTCCCAAAGAGCTGCAGTAAATTAGAAGCCGCAAGCTAGCAAGAGTATATAACCATTATATTTATCATCATCATATATGAAATGGTTACAAAATGTTGTCTTGGAGACTACAAAAAAACAATAAAAATATCTATGTGTAGGTATATTGATTTCCACAGCGTCAAGTGCTAGCAAAGCTAAAGCTACTCTGTATGGGAGCACCAACAGCGCCGGCAATGGATCAGCTAATCAGGGCCAGCAGCTCCGAGGTGCGCTGCAAGCAGCTGCAGCCACAGCCCGTGGCACAAACATTGTGTCGCTGTGCGGCAAAATAGGAAAAAGCATGACATTAATTTTACTGAACTAGTTGTGGAATTAATATATTTGACGTACCTCGAACCACTGCATCATGTGCTGCATGTGACCGCCATGGCCGCAGGAGATGCACGCATTGGCCGCACCGCGTACCGGCAGGCAGCAGAGGATGCAAAACAAAACTGGCCGCTTGCAGGGTTCACATTTGGGCGTACGCTTCGGCTTGGCACAGCCGCTGCATTCCGTGACGAACTCAACGCCCTGAGCTGGCGGCGGCGTGTGCAGCGTATGCTTGAGGATTAGGGCACGCTTCGACAGCAGCTGCCAGCCAAACAAGATATCCGCATAGGCGCGCTTGAACTGATCGAAGAGCGGCATCTTGGCGCGCCTGATCAGTGAACAGGCATACGCGTCCGTCTGAATGAGCTTAAAGTCTAGGCAATCCAGAGAATCGGACCAGGAGTTGCTGCGCAGTTGCTTCAGCTGCTGCAAATTGCTGCTGGTCGCCCGCGCCTGTGACGATGATTTGAAGTCCAGCGGGAGCACCGTATGATACGGCGACAATTGGCTATGAAGCTGGGCGGGCAGCCGAGGACAGCTGGTCACATCCATGACGTCCATCAGCGCAGCCGGACACTTGTCGAAGAGGCAGGCGAGCAGGACGGCTATTTGAATATCACCAGCGCTGGCATAGTGCATGATAAGCGACTCCAGCAGAGATTTCTTAAATGGATCCATATAGAAGAGCAGCTCAGAGCTCATCGACTCGTGCGGCACATGCGGCGTCGCTATCAGCTCCGCCAGCAGCCAAATGGGCAGCAAATCCGAACGACCATGGTTGCGACATATTTCAGCATTGCGTCGACACGTTTCGGCTATGTCGCGTTTATCCAGCGTAAATTCGCGTGCCATCTCCCGATTAATGTGCAGCAACTGGCTGGCATCGTACACATGGACAACGGGCGTGGTGCCATTGATTTGGCGCATTACCCGTTGTTTGCCCTGCAAACGCTTGCAGGCAATCATGCGTTCCTGCAGATAGAACGAAGCATTCGGATCCCGCTGTGTTTTGGTTGCCATCACATTCCCCAGCAAGCCACTGCCATTGATGGCGCTCAAAGTGCGCGGCGTGATGGCCTGATGCTGGCGCAGTGTTAAACGCTTTGTGCTCATCACCTGGGCAAAGGTGGTCAGCATACCAATGGCATTGAAATGTACGCCCGATGTGCGTGGAAAGGGTATGCAGGCATCGTGCAGTGCACTGGACAACGCACCTTCCAGTCTGGGCGATTGCAGCAGCAGCTGACTGCGATCCGCGCCGGCACCAGCAACGGCCGTGACACGCTTCTTCATGGCTGCCACCAGGGCGCGCAGGCATTGCTCCAGGCAGCTGCGCGATTTCTTGACACGCTGCAACGCATTGGTGCGCAGCACCTTGAGCAGCACGCTGCTCACATCGCTGGAGAGGGTGGTGCCCTGGCAAAATTGAAAATCGGGCGGCACATTCGGGCTAGGATAGGAGGTGGGAAAGGTCACCTGCAATATGATCGTATGATCAGCCGCACAGATCTTAAAGCATGCGTAGCGCTTAATGGCACACAGCATGTCCACGTCCACATGCGGCATATTGGTATTCAGCAGCGAGAACTCGTGCTGCAGCGAACAGGTCGGCTGATCTGTCAGCGAGCGTGCAATATGCGCCTCCTCACGCCGGGCATAGGCACCGCCAAAGCTAGGCGAGCGTGCCATTGGCAGGTTGATTGTGCCGGGCTCGAGCGTAGCAGCTATGGGCAGCGAGGCAGCTATCATCGGGCGCGGCTGCAGTGTATGCATAAACTCTGGCGGCGTTAAGGCGCGCAGTTCGTTCAACTCGGTCTCGTAGCGTGGCGAATCGCCCTCCTCATCCTCATCGGGCGAGGGCTCGCATAGCTTAAGCATGGTATCATCGATTTTCCATACGCGCAGCGTCCGATCCCGCGACCAGGTGACCAATTCCTGCAAATTGAATGCAAAATGTTAATTTTGCCTGGGAGCTATCGTATGGCCAATTGGCTCACAATTTCTGTAAAGTTCTCGTGGTTGGGGCGCCAAGCGAAGTCTAGAATAACATCGGTGTGACCCACAAACGAGCATATGGGATCCGTTTGCTTGCTATTACTCCAAAGCAGTAAGCTGTTCTCACCGCGGCCCAAATGCGGCACCACAATGCTGACCAGGCCGTTGCCAATGGGCTAAAACAGAAAAGAAATATATGCAAAGGCGATTTCTCGTAAGGTGTTGGCAGGCATACCGTATACCGCGCACGCCACACGGGCGATAGCGTGGTTATGATCTTCTCAGCACGCCTGGGATTGCACACATCAAAGTACTTGACGGTGCCATCCTGACTGGCTGTGGCCAAGCACGTCTCGCGCCTGTGACTCCAATTGATGCCATGCACGCGATTCAGATGCGCGGTAATATAGTGCGTTGGGCAGCTGCCCTTGCGTATGTCCCAAATGCGCAGATCACCGTCATGGGCGGCGGCCAGCAAATTGCCCGAGACGCGATTAAATCCAACCTGAGTGGCACCCGCTGCAAGCGAACAAAGCAAAGTTTAAGTCGAAAAAGCAAAAAGTGTTGGACAGAATGGCAGTTACACATGCAGACAGCATTTAAGGATAATGCCGGCTTGCGCGGATCGCGCAGATCCCAGATGTGCGAAAAGGTGTCAATCGAGCAGCTAACCAGCAAATTGGGATTCTTGCTGTGCCAGTCAATGTCGGTAACGGTGCGCGTATGGCCACGCAGGGAATTCTCATAGTGCGGTTCGGCGGGACCCCAACGCACAATGTCAATGTTTTGACTAGTCTGGAATGCATGCGGAAGACATTATGCATGAGAATTAAACATTTCAAAGAATCTACACTCACCGCAATAGCACAGTACTCGCGACGACTGGGGCATATGGCAAACTCTGCCACGGACACCTCGTACTTGGACTGGCGCTCGTGACGACGCAGCGTTCCATCATCTTGACCCAAGCGCTGCAATGCTAAATATCCACGACCTGCCAGCAGCACCCATTGGCCCGAGTAGTCCACCGACATGGCCGTAGCCTGTGAATCGCGATGCTCGTAGCATTTGTTGCTTTGTCTTATGATGTACGTCTGTTCAGAGCCGCCGCCGCTTCGTTCGCCGCTGCCGCTGCCAGCGCGTAATGTCTCCGTTGGCGGCATTTGGGTTTTATAAGGCTGGTGGGGCTGATGGTCGTGGTGTGTGTAAGTGCAACATAAAGTGCGAAATTTAATTAATTTTACTAACTAAAGCACGAAACAAAACGAACTGATAAGAGAAGACGAACACGAACAATAACAATAATAAGCTATCGCGTTTCGTGTATATCGATGCTTAGTATCGCTATGAACCAGGGCTGCACAGCAGCCCACAATTTCGCTGATAAGCAGAACTTGCCAGAAGTTCAGTGGCGAAAAAAGTTAGATATAGCTATAAATAGCTATTGGAAGCCAAACAAAACTTTAAAATACTTATATAGAACTTGCAATTTAATAACAAAATAAAAGGCCGTGGTCCCAATGCTTTTAGCGCCATGTTTTCAAAATATCATGAAGTGGTAATGTGCTTAGTTGCAAAAGTTAACATTGCCAAAATATTTTAGATCTGCGCTTAATCAGTGATAATAATAGAAAGTGAAGGACTAAAGTAGAAAACCTTACTATTTTTTAATGAACGGGACTCGAAACGATAAGATTCAAAATGGAAATTTATTTTCAGCCAATTTCCTAATATCTCTCAAAAATACTTGACTTAGCTAATAAATAGCTTTGGGGGCAACACTGTCGGCAAAATGCATGCCGGCTGTTGAATTTCACAAGCAAATCAAATTGGAAGCTATCGTTATCGTAATCGTTATCGGGCGAGATCGGTTAGCCAGTTGGTAAACTAAAGCAAACATCAAAAAAACAGATCTGAAATCAAATTTATACATACTTGTTGAATTTAAGTGGTACTTATGAGCCTGCCAAGATGATAGAGAACCTTAACGATGATTGCCAACTGCTCATTGTAAACTATTTGGAGCTTAGGGACCAACTGGCGCTGTGGGAGGCAACTGAAGACATCGCGCCCCGATTGAACAGTAATGTGAGCTATGCCTGGCAACACAAATTGAGCTATGTGCTAAAGAAACACACACTCGACGAGTTTGAGGAGCATCCAAAACACTTAGAGGCATTCCTGTCCGCCATTAGTCCAAGCGTTCAGCAGCTGGACCTGCAATATATAACGCTGAGGCAGTTGAAACTTTGGGTGGGGCACAGGTTTCCGAGAACGCGAGTGCTGGCTTATACGCTGGATGAGTATGATGAATTGACCAACGCTGAGAGAGCATTGGAGCTCTTAGTAGTGCTTTTTCCAGAATTAAACTCTGTCAAGCCGTTTGGGCCGTTTAAGGGCAGAATAATTGCCAAATGGACGCAGTTGCGGCAACTGGACTTAAGCGAAAGTTGGCCAATTGATGAAAGTGTATCGATGTGCAAATTTCAGAAACTGGAACAGCTAACAATTGATTGTGATTTTATAAATAATATTTCCACTGAGAGCATACTTTGTTTGCCCAAGCTTCGAACGCTTTGCTTCCATCCTGGAGATAAAAGTAATGAAGTTCTTGGTCAAATTATACAGCACCGTGGCCTGGACATACATGAGCTTATCTTTCACGATATCATCTGGGATTGTGCGCTGGCAACACTCCAACAGGTCAAGAACTTGCGACAGTTAACGCTAATCGAAGATGATGGCTTTAAAGTGGCTCAACTGCAATCTCTGGTCTCTGCACTGCCATTATTGGAGCAATTGAATCTGATCAATTTTCAATTTTGGCGCACAGAGACTGAGCTCTGGCAAACAGTCGCCAATTGCAGCTCGCTGAGAATATTAAATATATCGGGCATGCAGCTATATTCTGAATTCTTTGACTTTAGCAGGCGTCCCATGGAGGATGTGTTGAGGAAGCGCCCTGAACCGTTGACATTAAACTGCCATAACACCGGCGACAACGAGCATTTGGTTAGTTGATATGGTTTATTCCAGTAATGTTTTCGGTTAATGAAAAAAATTTCATCTTCCAGATTCGTCAACGTTTCGCACACTCCAATTTAATACTTTCTTTTGAGCAGTTAAATGTGGATTATATTGATAACGGCTACGTTAAAATACGGCTTGTGCCTTTGGTGCCGTCAAATAGTTGAAGCCAAAGAGTTGTTTAAATAAATTGTTTTATTTGTTTTTTGACAAACGGGAAAGGGGGAAGAATATAGCACAGGTAAAAAAAAAATATCAAATTAACATTAAATTGAATCATCAATAGATTGTTTATATTTCATAATTGTATAAAATCAATTATGATTTAATTGTGAATATAATTTTTTTTTTTTATAAATTAAAAATAGAATAAATATTTTTTAATTAGTATTTAGCTGTTTAAAAAGGAAAATAATTGGCAAGCAGGTTAGTCAAGACAGCAACCTTTAGTTTAAATGGAAACCATTTAGTTGGTTGCAAGTTTTTTATAAAGAGATGAAAGATATTAAATGCAATCGTCCGTCTGTAAACGGATATACCCCCCCAAGGAATACGTCTATATATTGTATTTGTGTATGGAGCTATTTTTATTGTCACTAAATTAATACAAACGTCCGAATTCTCTCAACTAGCCAGAAGACTTGCGAGCTTGTTTGGTAGTTAAGATTCAATTGAATAACTTTATACAAAGTCAGCGCTAAATATTTCATAGAAATAGTTTGGCTTAACTTAAGAACTAGGTGTAAGCAATAGATCTAAGGCTACGTATTGGGCATAAAAGTCTTTAAATGGGGATTAACGCTTATCTGTGACAATAGCAAAACATCTTCAGAGACGAATCCTTGATGCAATAGCTCTGGCTGCCATACAGATTGATCCGACTGATGGTCCCCGTTAGGGTGCTCACATATCCGGTCATGCGCACCGTCGACTCGAAGACAGCCAGACCCGGTTTGGTCTGAAAGCGCAGCGTTATATCCACCGAATAGTCGTTGTTAATATCTTTGACAATCTTCTGGTGCGGCGCCGCGATGAACGCCTGCAGTATGGAGTTCAAATAGAGTGTGCGGCATTGCGTATGTGCGGAAAGGCGATCATTGATCAAACGGACCAAATAGCGTGCGGCACGCTGGACGCGTTCGTTATTGGTGGGCATCTCCTTGCGCTGATGGCAGGTGCACCAGTGGGGCGCAATGCTCGCCTGGTCGCAGTTGCGTTCCGCCGGCACCGGCATGAACAGGCTAATGCCACGCGGCAGCGTGCTGTCGATGTCACTGAGCTCGGCGACATTCTGTTGCAGTCGATCCGCTTGCAGATTGCGCATATCGAGCAACTGCAGCAACGTGGCATGCAGGTCGAAGGGCGTGATCAAGCGCTTGGCATTCAGCTCCAGATTGGCTATGGCCAGCGGATAGCGCTGCTTTAGCCAGGCGGGATACAACGCTATGAGCAGCGGCTGGCGCTCCTCCATCATGCCCTGATAGGTTCTGCGGAATGAGCCCCAGCGCAAGCCATGATCCGACATAAGCAGCACTAGCGTCCGATTCAGCACGCCCGACTCGTGCAGCTGTTGGAGATTCAATGCCAGCTGCGGATCCAGCATGCGCGGCGCATTGAAATAGTCATGGGTGAGAGCCACCGACCAGAAGAACGAGAAGAACAGATCACGTCGCATCCGGGGCACAAACTTTCGCATATACTCGAACATCACATCCGCTGTGCGTCGCCCGCCCATGCACAACTGTATATTGGTGTCCTTGTTGCTGGCAATCTGCTCCTCCATCTCCAGCAGCATGGGACGCAGGTAGTAATCTGTTGGCGGCTCACGAAAACCGCTGCGGCCAAAATTGAACAGGCCGAGGAGGCCAACATCTTCGGCAAAGATCGTCTTGTAGCCGGCCTGCTTGTAGCGCTTCCAGAGGAATCTGCAGCCATCGTAGCTGGGACGCGCCAGCGGCGCGATACAGGATATATTCAGCTCCTGATCGTCCAGGCCGCTCAGCAGCGGCACCAAATTCGGGAACGTATTGTCGCCTACCTTGTTGTAGCCCCAGAATTCCACATGCGATAAATTTTGCTGTATATAGGCCGCCGTGCGTCGCATTTGCCGATGGAAGTTCAGGTGCGAGACGCTATCAATGCCCAGGACCATCACCGAGAGGCGATCTTGGGGCTCCTGTGCAGTTGAATTATCAAGGTTGGTGCTCTTGAATATTCTTTTTGTGGTCCTCTTCTTAATGTCCGGCTTATCCACCACAAAGAAGTGACAATCTTTGTAGATTATGGAACCCGCCAGATTTTGGCATTCCATGCACATAAATTCCAAATCCTTTGGCAGTTGCATCGATTGGGCCAGCTTGATGGGCACCGGCGGCAGCAGCTCATTCTTGTTGTCCGTCCGCCGGCGCACTTCTCTATAGCTGCAGCTGATCTTGGCCAGATCCTTGATCTTATAATATTTCAGCTGCTCCTTGGCGTCCATGTTGAGCAGCAGCTGGCCGGCGATCACGTCGCTCGTCCGCGTCAAGGGCTTGCGGCACTTGACAGAAGTTGGATTGAACATAAACTGGGCTATGTTCTCGTCGAACACCTCGAAGTAGGGCATCCGGCAGCCGGGCGTGTCTATAAAGTATGCCTGGCTCACATTGTGCTCATAGTCGATGCGCGATATAAAATCGAAGCGATCGCGCAGCCGCAGCAGCTGCGTCCTCAGATTGTAGTCCACAAACAGATAGGAGAAGACGCACACGCAGAATATGATAATCACAATCTTCTTGAATTGGCCACGATTCTTGGTCATATTATAGTATCGATAATAATGCTGTAGATCACGCTTTGTCATATACTTTGGATCCAGCAGATATTTGCTTCTGTAAATAAATAGTTCGTAAAAGTTGGCAATTTTTTATTAAAGTTTATTTTATATTTTTTAAACATTTTTATCAAAGCATGCTTTTTGCGAATGTCGTTGTCCCAAAATCTAAAGTTGTCAAAGAAAATAACTATTTAAATAAAAGCTTAGAATGAAACATATAAAATTACACATTTTATAAGAATTATGTTTCATTTAAGTTTTTATTTTTACATTGAATCCTCATTTATTTTTGACAGTTCAATATATAAACTAAATATTTCTTTATATGTTGGAAACAAACAAAATTTACTGAAAAAACCAAAAAAACGTTATTTTATTTTTTCTTAGATTTCATATTTTTGTCATCGAAAAATAATGTTTTTTTTACCCTATATTGAATATATATAATTAAATAACTTATGCTTAAGTTAATCTGCATTCGATTTCAAATACTTCATACTTTCTCCATAAATTTAAAAATAAATGTATATAATAATTAAATACATATAATTAAAGCACGTTAAGTAAATCTTTTAACTAGAAAATGAAGTATTGGGCTAGTGTGAACTATTAAATCTCGATACTATAAAAAGATGATTAGTTTTAATAAGGAATTTCAACTTTTAAGAGCTTAGCTAATAATACGAAAACCGAATGTTTTTATACAAATTTAAAATTAATTTATTCGGTGAACTATTTGAGCAAATTTTTAATTTGTCGGCTTCATTTAAATGCAAAGTCGAAATATGCTGAACCAGAACCATAAACTACTTTTTATGCTTCTTATTTTAAAATATAAATATAAAGCATTATTTCTTTGTGCACAATGCACTTCTTGGACATATTTTATATATATCAATTACAAAAAAGGACTGCAAATAAAACTTGTTAAATTTTGTACAGCTAACGCTAGACACTGTCTACATTTTCATTGCTCCTAAATGCCGACCAGGCAAAGTTCATTGTCTTGGAGAGTCGTGTCTCAAGAAGCTGCCTATAGCTTGTAATATTTTTTGCTGACTATCATTTATTAAAACTACAAACAATATAAGGGACAACAACACCAACACACAGACACACACAAATACACACACACACACAGTCCTCACACTCTTGAGCATCTCTTAGTGCGCCAGGCACGGACAAGTCTTAGGCGTCCTTTTTATGGGCCCAAGGACGTGACGTTGTCAATGTTTTCTCCTTTTTTTTTATTATTTATTTACTTGTTTTTGTAATAAAAGTGTGAGAAATAGAGTCTAGCTGACTTGTGCATGTGCAACCAGCAACAAGCTTGAGCAAATTTATGGCTGAATTTAGAGCGAGAAGCGAGGAAAGAAGCAAATGAGGAAATGCTGCAAACAGTGGCAAGCGTACCTATGTGGTTAGAAAAGCTAATTAAAATAAAATAAAGCTTGAATATACGTTAAAAACGGATAAAGCTTCTCTCAATGCTTCTCTCTCGAACAAATTAAAGCCGGCTGACAGAGTATTTGCAAAGAAAGAAGCGTTAGCCGCAAAAAGCGTCAAGTAAAGCTAATGAGTAGGCTTTGGCTACTGCTGCTTCTCGAAACGCTTCTTCCTTCACTATTAATATGCATGAAGGTAGACAAATCAAAGCCAAATAACAGTGTAAAGCTATTAGATAAGCATTAGGACTGGTTTAGACTTTATCTCTGCCCGTTGCTCGCAACGCTTCTCTCTTTAGAATCTAGCACTTCTTGGCTAAGTGAGAAGCGATAAACAAGGCAAAGACTTACTGCAAATTGGTAAAATTAAAACAAGTTGTGAGAAGCGTTACGTCTTTTATGCCTCATTCCCAACGTTTCTTTCTTTGTAGCATGCAGAAAAAAAGTCTATTTGATTGAGTGAGAAGCTCGTAAGAACAATTATAGCTTCTCTTATAACGCCTTTGTGTCATCAGCTAAGAAGAAGAAGCTTAAGAAGTAAGCCCATTTGACAGGGATTTGTGTGTATTTCAATTTTTTCCCATTTGATGCTTCAAATTGCATTTTGGCCTGGATAAGCAAACAGAGGAAACTCGACGTGCAAATGGCATACGAATTGGTCCTTTCAGCAAACAAGCGACTGCAGGCACTCACTCACAATCACACACACACATTCACACACACACGCACACATTCACACACATTCGCACATACACACACATACTTACTCATAGCTCATATCGCCGTATTTTCGGTTATCCTTTGTGGTATAGTAGGCACGCATTTTAGCACCTTTAATTAAATCAGATCCTGACGTTTATCTCGGCTCACACTTGCAGCTGCCGCAATTTGTTTAAGTCCTTGACATTTTGTGTGTGCCTCTCGTCCCTGTTTATTTGTTTTGATTTAACGTTAATTGTTTGTGTGCCACATTTTATGGCCAACGCTTTTGTGCACATTCAATACAACATTTTCCACACAACTGCGCCTGGTTTGCCACCACACCCCTCCCGCGCGTCCACCAGCGAGGGCGGACAACACGAGTCTTATATTTTTTTCGGAAATCGTTTACCTGGAGCAGCTGCTGGCGCCTCGGCTGCCAGCCCACCAAACACTGGATGCTGTGTGTGCTACCAGGCCGCCCTCTAGACGCCACAGCAATCGCTCTCTCGCTCTCTCCCGCTCTTTCTTTGTCTCTCTCTCTCGGGGTCTCGCTCGCTGTTGTTTTGACATTTTGCTGGGCTGAAAGCAGTGTTGGATACTGCGCAGGACCGCCATTTTGACAACTGCCAGGGATGCTGTAAAAGTGTTTTGCACTGCAAGAAATAAAGGAATTAATAAAAACAATGATAGCAAAGATAATAGTGAAATATTATTAAATAAAAATAATTTAAATATTTGTAAAATATTAATTCTAATAATAATAATAAATACAAATTATTATAATATGTACTAATAATATTAATTATAATATTATAACATATAGTAAAAAAATATAATAATCACGCCGTAATAATACAAATGAAAGTTATAATAATATTAATAATAATAAATAAATATATAAAAATGGAAAGGTCGCCAAAACCAGCATTAAATTATTATAATAATAAAATTAACAACTCAATAATTATAAAATGAACATAATAATAATAAAAATATAAAAATTATTATAATTATCATAAAAATAATTATACAAATAATAATAAACAACATAAATAAAGCGTAGCAGTAATTTGTTTATTTGGATGGTACTAAAAAGTTTTTCTTTGGCATAGTAAGAACTTCTTTTCGATTTGTATTTAGTTTAATAGCATTTTTACTATTAATTAAGTTAGAAGTTTAGGTTTCAGTCGGGTGCAACCGACTGCATCATACTCTAACCCGTGTGGTTGGCGGGCAACAGAATACCTCCACAGCATGTCTCCGCTTGTCGTAGAAGGCGACTAAAAGAGACACGTAGATCTATCAGTACCGGGCTCTAATGGGCGTGGCCAATTTGTTGTTGTTTTTTGAACCTAAAGTTACAGCCGTCAATAATAGTTTAGTCAATTGGGAACCCAGGTTAAAATCCCTTTTGTTTTTTGAGCCCAACGAATAATTGAAAAAACCTAACTCTTTGCTTTTATGGGCAACTGCAAAGTAAAAACATTGCTGTACGAACCCAAATTCTGAAAGTATTTGGAGTGAAATATCGTTATTTAGAAGAAAATAATTAAAAAGGGTTGATAATAATATTAAAATTATACCATAAATTTATTTGGATGAAAAGAGAATACATCGACTTAGCTGTCAATACAAAACAATATACTTAATAATTCCTGACGAGGCTAAAAAATGCCAACTTAATGATACTCTATTCGTTCATTTTTATGCAGGGTATTCAAAAAGGAAACCCCAGCGTGCATATGTATGTTACATATATAATAACATTTCTAGATCGAAACGGAGTAGAGTCGCATATGTTTACTTTTTAGCACTTTGTTTGCTTTTTGTTGTGAAGGGTCGGTGGGTGAGGGGGGGGGGGGGGGTTGTTTGGGGTTTTAATTATGATTTGCATGTTGTGATTTAATTAATATAGTTAAGTGGTATGGGAAATGAATGGATTTGCGGGGTCAAGGAACGCATCAAATGTTTGCCGACAGCCACCCGCTGTGCAGGTGTGTGTGCTCCAGATGTTATAGAACGGATATATGGACGCACTTAGAGATCGAGCAATGCGTTTGATTGTGCTTCAAATTTGGGGAAGCGATTTTGTGGTGCTTAAAAAAAGTTATTTTTGCGCCAGGCGTGGGTGCGCTTTGGGCCCGGTCAAATTCATGAATGGACGGCTTTGTGCAGTTCCGCAGACATGCAAATCCCTCAACTTAGCCTTGGCATAAAGGACAACCCACAGCGTTGCGCACTTTTGCTCATTAGTTGCGGAAAAATCGCAAAAATGAAAGCACGCAGGATCAATTGGCTGCAACATGTGCGTGTGTGTGTGTGTGTGTGTTAATAACACACTGCTGCAGGCCAAACATGGCATTTTTATGTTCAATAATTACAGCAACAACAAGTAGCAAAAGCCAACAAGTAGCCAACGTAAATCACAGCCTGAAAAGAGCATTTCACTGTTGCCCCGCCCCTTGATGTCCCTGCTGAAGCCCCGCCCACGCGGCCTCCACTTGAGTTGCCCTCGCAGACGATTAACAAGCGTAATGTAATGTTTCATTATTGTAAAAAAAGCAAGAAAATATGTGTGTGTTAATAAAAATAAAGAAGTCGCAGCAGCAAAAATCGTCTATAAAAGCGGGCAGCGCATAAAGCGAACGTTTCAGTTGAAATTTCAAAGTGTGCACGGCCAGCGGAAAAGTGCATCCAATTCGCCACAAAATCCAAGTAGAGCCAGCAATTAGTCCAGTCTACGTCCCTTTCTCTCACCATCACCAGAGAAGCATGCTGCAGCGGCGCTTGGACAGCCAAAAGCAGCGACGCCAACGCCGCCAGCTGCTGGAGGGGAGCAGCAGCAGCGGGGGGGGCAACAGCAGGAGCAGCAGGTGTCGGGCTAACTATTTGCCTGGCCTGCTGATTGTGCTGCTCGTGCTGCTGCAGAACTTTGAGCTGCACATGTGCCGGCAATTGATGGGCGCCGCTGTCAACAGGCGCAAGGACATGGATACCGATGAGCAGCTGCTGCCCGCCGTCGCTGCTTCCTCCCTGGAGAAGCGGGCTATCGCTGCGACGACCGTTAGCCAGCCGGAAGAGATTTTCAGTGCGCCCAACGATGCGGCTGACATGAGCTATGATGAGTACCCGGTGAGTGATGGTCCCCAGCCGGCCCTTCCCTTCCCCTTCTCCTTCCCCTGCCCCTGCCCTTGAAACGCCCCCACTGCGTGGGCTTTGGTCAAGCCCAAAATGCGTCTCGTTTTACACACAAAAATTTGTAATTGTATATTTTTTTTTGCATTTGATTGCTTGCCCTGCAGGTGAATTGCTTGCTTTGATATTGCAAAGGGACCTAGCCCTACCCTGTCGCAAATTCAGCCTACACCAAATTCTCTTCTCGCAGCTGACGTCACATTGTTTGAGTTTGTGCGCAAAATCAACAACAAAAACACGTTTAAAAAATGTCAAGTCCAAAAATTTGTATTGTGGGCGTTGACTAAATTGCGTATACGCCATGTTAGTGAAATTGCGTATACGCAAGGTACGCCAGTTGAAATTGTCGAAAACTATTCGAGAGCTGTCTAAGTTGGGTTTTGGTCGCGTTTCTAATATATTTCAATTATTATTAGTTTTTCTATGAATAGAAAAAAATATTATTGTAAAATATATTATTATTATTTGCGCTTTTATTTTTAAGTATTATATTTAGTATAACTTTTTCTATATTATGAAATGTTTTAATAATATTTCCAAGGCAATCATTTTACCTATATATATATTTAACTTTTTTGATTTGATATTTAACAGTTTGATTTACCATGTACATAATTCATTTAATTTTTTCCCTTTCAACCTAGTTTGATTATCCTTAAACATATTTTTGGAATATTTTCATTAGGCTCAATTTATTTTCTTTATTTTTTCGCAAATCACAATGCTTTGGTCAAATAATTGAATTTAATTTGCAAGAAATTTCAATTTTCGTTGCGGCCATTTTCCTGTACATAATAACACCAATTTTTTAATAATAATAATGTATTATAATTATAATTTATCCATTTTTCGTAGATTAAGTTATATTAAAGTAAAGAAATCATAAGAAACGTGGTAGCCAGGTTGAAAATTCAGTTTTTTATTGCGGAAAAGTTCTATTTACTGGAAGCTCTCATTAAGAATGGACAAATAGTGTATTACAACAAGTGAGTTTATTTTTCATTATTTTCAATTTTATTGGGTATATTAAAAGTCTAAGGCTCAAATTTTGGCGAAGTATGCAAAATGTTGACAAATATTGTACAGGGCTTTATAAATATTTACACAAAATCTTAATTGCTTTATTTTTGTGTTTTAGTTGGGAAACGGGCATTATATGAAGTAAATCTATTATATATATCTGATATATCTGAAAAAAAATTTATATGTGTTTGTAAATATAATAGAAAAGTATCGCAAACAAAAAACGAGCAGAAAGTTGCAGTCGCAACTTTGCTTGAATCGTTCAAAGGCAAAATAAAGTCTCTACTGATTTTATTTGCCATAGACATATTTTCAAGATAATATTGTTTCTCAATAAATAAAAATGGTAACCTTTCGAAGGCGAACATCTGTCTGCTTTATTGTCAAGCTAATTAAATGATAAATATTGAAAAGAGCTTTAATTTTGTGTTGGATAACACATTTCTTGAGGGAACTGCGTAAATTTTATTAAAATTGTATTTCTTACGCATATCTAGAATTCGTAGACATGTGAGAGTTCTACAGTTATTTAGTCCACTTTATTGATATCGATCTTCCCCAAGTCCCACATCTTAGGATGTCCTTCGATAAAGTTCTCTACAAACTGACTCTCAAGAAATTGTAAATAAACAAATTTATCCTAAATATGAACTCTACAACTCCCATAGATGGTGGTGCCCAAGCGGGCTGCTTTACTGCTGGATCGTCTAATGGTTGCGCTGCATCATGCGCTGGAGAACGAGCGGGAGGATCATCGCATTGGCGATTTCTATGCCAACAAGAATATGATGCAAATGAAGCCCAACGAGTACAAGAATGCGCTGGAGCCGCTGCAGGCGACGCAGGAAGGTGAGCTGAGCTTTACTTAAGAATATAATATATATAAGTATTCTTCGAGCTGTGATTTTGTGGACAAAACAGGTGCCCAAATGCCGATGAGCAGCCACAGCTTTCACATGTATAGCGATGATGATCCTGGCGTGATGTTGGATTATGATTTCAAAGATATAAATCAAATAAATCGCGCGACTGGCGAAACAGTAAGTTGGATATTGAAACCAAAATATGCAATTAAAGATATCAATTAGCATGGAAAATGGTATAAGAAAATTTCAGTTAATGGCAAAGAGCTTTCAGAGAAGAGCCGGCGGCATTGGCGCTGCAGCATCAGCATCAGCATCAGCAGCATCATCGGCAGCTGGCAACGCTGCGGCACATGCAACAAACGGCGGCAAAGCGTCAGCCGGATCCGGGCCGGCTTCCGGCGCCAGGCGCATCCATCATCACGTCGCCAATGGAGGTGGCCGCATGTATTGGCGCTGCTATTTCAATGCCGTCAGCTGTTTTTAAAACCAGCCAACAACAAACATCCAACACAACAACAAACATCCAACACAACAACAAACATTCAACCAATTCAATACAATTAGCTACCAACTCGACTGCGGCTTTTCGACACCAACAACAATTGCAATTCGATTGGGTTTATTTTGGCTGGCTATGAAAGTTGTTCGCGCGATTAACTGAAATCATCTGTAAACATGAATTGTAAACTCAACATTTTTGTAATTATTATTATTATTATATATATATACACATAATTTATCTGAATCGTATACAACTTATCGCTGCAAGTGTGCGTAATAAATAAACTAGAAGTCAACTTGAAATCTATATATATATATATCTATATATATATATCTATATATATATATCATTTGCATAATCCACAGTAGCTGTCGTACACTAATTCGCACTAATATTGATTGGCATGCTCATAAAAGCTCACACACACACACACGCACGTACACACACACACACACACCCATAATCCACCCATTCATTGTGTTTTATTTTACACGTGCAACGCTTCATATTTGTAGCCTTATCGGAGCGTCCAATTCTGGGTGCAAAACCATAATGCTCTTTGTTGTACTTAGTTGAGATTGGCCCAAACGGAAGTAGCACTTAGTTATATAGCACAAACACACACACGCACACACACATACAGTTGATATGCTTTCAATTTGCATTTGTACTTTTTTTCACGTTAAGGATAGAATGCATACCAAATTTGGTAGCTCTAGCTGTGATAGTCTCTGAGTTCAATGGGAAGTGCTCTTTTAACCTTGTCAAGACTCAAGATGTAATATTCTTTTATTACTTTAAATGTCACCTATTAGTCCTTCTTTTTGTTGGAATTATTGTTGCTCCCTTGTATTTCAGAATTTAATATGTTTGTTACGCAGAATATTTTAAACATTTTTCATGAGTTTTTTGCCGAATTGTTTCCAAAACAATAAACATCGGTATTCATTCAAGATTTTAAATTTGTATGCCGAGTGCTGAGTTTTCTTGAGATTTTTCTAATTTTTTTTTAAAAGAAGTCAGTCAAGATTGATTTTTTATTATTCGTATCCTGAGTTCCGCTTTTTATTGAGATATTTCCGTTTTCTTAAAATAAAATTTAAATAAATATCGTCATCACGAAAGTCGTGTATTCTTGAGATATTCTATGTTTTATATTTTATATATTATATTTTATATTTTAATTTCATTATTTTTTTTTATATATTATATTTTGTATTTTATAATTGAAACTTTCTATAAGAAATTTACCCATATTTGAGCTCGTGGAAAACGTTTAAATCAACTTTCTTAGCTAGATATGTAGTATATATTTTTTCATATTTTTTCTCGTTCATCTTGGGATATATTTTTCCCATTGATTTATTTTATTTTATTCAAAATGTTTCCAATATTTAACCTCGAGCTCAAGGAACATTTTTTAAATTATATTTAATTATATTTAAACTCTAAGAATTTTCATCAATCTTTTTTTCTGCTGGCCAAACTCAGCAAACTTGATGCAAATGACGCACGCTCTTCAAGCCAAGACAAACTGCCGGCCAACTCTTTGGCTTTGTGCAGGAGCCAATGCATATCATTATGGCCAGCAAGTAAAGGAATACAAAATGCAGTCCCGATCAGTTTTTTTTTTGTCGCTTTGCGCATGCAACTCACGTAGTTGACGCTACGGCCAAGTTTAATTGCCTGTTGGCAATCGAGTGTCAAGTTTTATTGGCCAAATTAATGATGTTGCATTGCAAATTGATGTGCATCGAAGAGCGGCGCCTTTTTGCTTAATTGATGAAGAAGTGCTGACAAAAAAAAAAAAACATAAGTAAAAATAAAATAATAATCGAGCTCGTTTTGCTTATCGGCAGGCGCACGTTGAGCGGCTGCTCGTAAATCAAAGTGCTGGCCGCATGACGTCACCGAAGGCAGCGCCAACAAGTATGCAACAAGTTTTGCCAATCAACAGGTGAGTTTCTTATACTCACCATGCACGCATGGTTATCAAGCTGTGCGCGCGTGGTGAATAATCCGGCTCGAAAGCCGCACGTTGCTCATACGCAGCGTTGGCAACGATAAACGACAACAACAGCAACAACAGCAGCTGGGCGGCAACATCATGTAGCCACACGCCTAAGCCAATTTTAGCTCCTGCCCCACCTTAAACACCCCCCACACTGCTGCGCCTAGCCTAACACCCTTCCTGCTTCCTGCTGCTGGCGTCGCTGTCGCCGTCGTCGCCGTCGTCGCTGCCGTCGCTGCCGTCGTCTGCTATTTTGTATATAAAGCCGAGCGCCGTCCATGGCCAACATCGAGTTAACAATTTCACTTCTTGGCGTTCACATCGAGGCACAGTCAACAGGCGACAGCATCGAACCCGAAACGGATCTTCCAGCGCAGTTTCCTCAACAATATTGCATTTCATTGCTGTTTGCAGCTCCATAAATTAGACAATTCCGTTGTGGCGCAACAAAACGCGCACTAAATAAAAGCCAAAAAATCGTTTTCGCGCTCAAATCTCGCCGCAGTCGCTATTTGTTTAGCTAGAACATTATCCTCGTATTTCTCTGGGTAAGTTTTCGTATTTATTGTATTTGCCTAATTCGTTTTAATGTTTGCCTTGGTTTTAATCGTGTGAAGCCCTCGATTCGGGCACTAATTGATTTATTGATCAGACGTGAAGTGTGTTAAGTGATATATTTGTTGAAGATTTTTCGTGAGCGATTTGTAGAAAAGACATTCACTTAATTCAAACTTTATAGGATGGAATTTGCGTTTCGAAAGTATTTCAAAATATTGAAAAAAAAAAAACGTGATGATTATATATATCTGAGCCAGACAAACTCTTTTTAATTAAAATTTCACAATCTCACAATTTTTGAACACTATAAAAATATATGAATATTTTAAATTTGGGAATATTATATATAATAAAATACTTTTAAAATCTAATATATTTAATATATTTATAATGTCAAGGACAACATTTATTGTTTTTAACAAAGTCAACTCAGTTTTCTTTATTCAATGTTGTACAACCAATATTTAAAAATAGTTGTTAAAAATTTTAAAATTTTTTTTACAATTACGAAAAATTAATAATTTATTGGAACCGGTTAATGCTTTTATAATTATTATTATTATAATATTATTTAAACCTTTTTATAAACGATTATTTAAAAATAGCTCTTTACAATTTTAGATATTTTCTACATTTAAAATTTACGAAAACTTAAATGGGCTTCTTCAGTTGTTATTATTATTTAATATATATTATATATATATATAGTAAAATATTTTTATTATTTTCAATAAGTTTCATATTTTTATAACATGAACTTTTTAAATTGAAAGATTTCCAATGCGACATTTTCTAAATTTTCTAAAATTACAATAGTATTATGTTTTAAAAAAGCCTCGGGTAATAAATTTCTTGAATTCTTTGTTTATTTTTGAATAAATTCTTAGCAAATTTAGATCTTTTCCAAATCGAATATTGAGTTCATTTTTTTAGAATATTTAAAACACGTTAGATATTATGTTGAATTTTTGTCTATTATTGTGTTTGAATTTATTGTCATTTTATTTTTTTAATATAATATAATTTTATTTTAATTACAAATAATGTCAACTTTTATTTTAGTTTTAAAATATTCAATTATTAATTCAGCAAAACTGATTTAAAAATCTTACCTCAATCCAAGTGCTTAGCTGATTTCGCTTCATTTATTATTCAATAATGAAACACAACTGACGAATTTTAAAAGAAATGTCCCGTCAAATAGATTGACATTCGGACATTAAGGTGCCAGGGGAAATGTGTTTTTCATAACTGCTTTTCGCAACAGGTTGACAAATGCGGCCAATTAATCATCTGCTTTGGCAACGCTTCACCTTTGCCCAAATTGAAATTCATGCGTAAAAATGGAACACAAAAAAGAAAGATGTACTTTTGGGGTTACTTAAAACCGCCTGACGACAGAGGCAGAGGAAAAGCCTATCCCGACAAAAGCTGCCAGTTGCGTGGGCCTTTGACATTGGAACATTATGTGAATCATTTATGAAGATATGTAACAGAGCAAAGTTCGCATCATTCTATGTTTTCCGAATGCTGCATAGTTTTTCCAGTTTACCTTTAAGACTGTTTGGCATGTTGGTTTTGATTTGTAAACAAAACCGCTTTCAAATTGCATTTAATATTTATTACTCTCTGCCAGTCGCAATATTGGTTAGGCGTGGGAGAAAAGCCTTTAGGGCAGTTAAAATTTGATGGCCCAACTGATGAAAGTCCAAATTGATTAGAAAGTGTTGACAAGCATTGAAAAGCTTTCCAATAAGTGTTGTTTAATTGAAAAATAGGGATATATATATATTAAAGTGGCGCAATTGTGAGCAGTCTTTATATAAGATATAAAATATTAAAATAAATAATAGGTTTTTTAAATGATATGCAAAAATAACCAACATTTGAATTTGAGCGGCGGAAAAAGTTCATAAGCAAAAAAAATTATATTTTTATTTATTTTAATAGATATTTCATCAATGGATAGAAAATATATTGAAGAAATATATTCTTTATTTTGCTGTTTTGTTTAAAAGATTTAAAGATTTAAAAGAGAAGCTTTTCGAAATGAGATAAATTCTTTTTTGAAGTCATATTTGAAAAGTAGAAGCTGCGGGCTTTCAGTATAGTTTTGAAGACAGCACAAAGTTGAAGATATTAAATATTTATTTGTATATTTTGTTTAAAAGATACTGAAGCATATTTAAAGTGTGGCTTTTAGACGTGAGACAAATTCTTTTTTTTAAAGTAATATTTGCAAAATAAGCTAATGAATAAAATGAACAAAGAAGTTCCGGACTCGAATCTTATTTTAAATATTTATTGTTGTTCGGAGTGGAACAGGAAATAATCAAAATCTTGGCTTCTTGCTTGTTAAAAATTGAAATATGTTTGCCAGATTCTTAACGTACTTCGTCCCTTACAGATAGAATTTCTTGTTAGCCCAAAATGTTCGCAAGTCTCAAACTCAACTCTCACAAATATTTCGATACTCTACATTTTAATTGATTGCTGCATTTGCCACGTTTTGTCTTTGATGTCGCATTTATTATCAGTACTACCAAAGGATTTTCAGACCAAAAGCCGCAAAAGCCGCAACTGGCAAAGAAATTCGATACTCCTTGAGTTGAGGTAAAAGTATCAAATGGACGTCGGCAGCAACCGCCCCAAAAAGTAGGCTACAGCTGCGAAGCAGCAAATAAAATATTAATTTACAGCGCTAAAATTACAAGAATTTCCAAAAATTCTGCTCTACTGGAGTCTGGGGAAAAACATGTCACGAGTGCGACGAAAATGCGTACTCATAATTTTCATTTGTCAACAAAATAACGTATCGCATGACCAATAAATCATAAAGTGCCCAAAAGAAAATGTCCCGAAATCAACACGGCGAAAATATTTGGCTAATTTTAAAGCGGCGGCAAAACTGTGAAAAACGGTGAACGGTGAAAAACTGTGTAAAAGTTGTGGAAAAAAACACCGAACATGGAAAACTAAGCCGCTTGCTGGATTTCCCAGCCGTTGCCAGAGAGCTATGCGTAATCTGTGGCTAATGCGTCGCAGCTAGTGTGAGCGAGAGAGAGAGATAGGGAGAGGAAAGAAGAGTGAGGGAGAGTAAGATAGGGAGAGAGAGATAGATATGTAGGGTGAGAGCGAGTTATGCAAAATTGCAATTTGCCAAAGATTGCACTCTCTTCCTCACCCTCTCTCCCTCCCTTGCTCTCCCTCTCCCGCTCGCTCTCTCTCTAGATCTCTCTGCGTAGCCCTATATTAAATTTCCAATTAACATTGCCGCTTTATTTATCAGCCGCAATAAAAGTGTCCTGATTATGTTGGCTACCCCTTGCCGCACTCTACCACCCCCACCCCTTCCCCGCTCCCCGCTCGACTCATCTGTTGCTTTATTATTCCATTTGATCTCTCAGTTTTCGCTGACTACCGTATGCTGTTTGCCAATGCCTACGGCACACCCCAAAACTCCCCCCGCCCCCCTCGCGACTTACATTGCGCTCGACATGTTATTAGTTTTATTTATTGCACGACGGGCAGACTGTCAGACTGCCTGACTAGTTGGAGTTCTATCTATCAAACATTCTACGACTTGTTGCCGCCTGTGTCCCAGTTACAGATACAATATCTATAATTATCTATGCCTCAGGTATTAGCTGGGAGCTCTGGGTGCCTTGCATGTCAAACATTTGTTCCTGGCTTTTGGGCTGTCATTTTACGGCGGACTTAAAAGCTTGAAAAGCTAGTCCACAGTCTCAGCTATAGATAGGGTATATAGTTATAACATTTCTATTGAACGCAATTATTAGAGTTCAAGTGAAATCGGAATGGGTTTTTATTTAATATACTTAATTTATATATAAAGTCTTAAACTTAACTATAAACTGGTTTATTTAGCTGAAAGCTATATTAATATTATGAGTGCTCTTAAAAGTATGCTATCTAAAATGAAAAGCTGCTCAAAATAGAAAGTTCTAGTTTTTTGAAGGCAAATTTTTGACATATTTCACTAACATAAAAAACTACGAGACAAGTCTGGGAAATATCTTTGTTATTTAAGAAAATCATACAAGACACTATATTCATCGGCTTCGGGCAGAGTTTGACTTTTATAGGAAGAGTGAAAAACTTAAATTAAGAAAATTTTTATATCTCAAAAACTTATACTAATGATTCCAAAAAAAAATCTCAATTATGTTAAAGAAATTTTCAAGATTATAGAAGTTTTTGGGAATTAACTTTATATTGAATTCTTTAGATATAGAAAGTCATAAAAATACAATATTCATTGGTTTCGTTGTGGGTCTGGCTTTTATAGAAAGTGTAAATATAAAAAAGGGGAATATTTTAATTATTTCAAAATAAAAGTAATAATAATAAATATATAAAAAAAAAATTATCTTTTTTTTGAACATGCAAATTTATCTCTGAACAAAAAATATAGCTGACAATTTCACGAAATAGGATCAGTTTTTTTCTTCCAAATTCAAAAATTTCTACAAAATATGCCAGATTCAGTTAAACATTTATATTTCGTTATACTTGTGTTTGATAAATATAATAAATTTGTGGAAAGGAATGTTACCCACAGGAAGTAACATATCTTTATAAAATGTATAAATATTTTAGATAACGATGTTTTCACTTCACAATATTCGGAGTGCAGTTTCTCGACACATTAACACGGATCTAATTTATTTGATTTCATCGATACCTTTCGCTTAAATCGATTATTATCGAAAAACGATCCACGTTCTTTGAGCATAGCTAGGGCTAGGCCTAGATCTAGAGCTCTGTTCGCCTAACCCAAATAAAAGAAATGAAATTCTATATATCTGCCATATATATCTGCCATATCTACCATATCTTCCATACAACCCAGTAAATTCTTGTTAATCGGACAATAAAGATAGCAGTTATTTGGTAAGTAGGGCATTCGGAATAGAAGCAGCCGATTAAAGCCGGCTGCAGAGTATCTCCAAATCGGGCAATCTCGTCTCTCGCTATTTATAAATAGTTACCCAATTATGATTTTAATATGTGCACAAATTTATAGAGAAATACATTCTAATCTTTAGCTAAGCTCAATTTTAGATAAAGATTTTCATTTTCTGCTGCTCTTTAAGTTTTTCCCCCAAGATTTGCATTTATTTCCGACCAGGAAAAATGCTGCAATTTGAGTATGCACATAAAACAAAACAAATCCCGGCGCATCCTTGCCGCAGCAACATGCAGCCACAAAATGGCTGCGTAAAAAATGCAGAGGCCATAAAGAAAAAAATGAAAATGAAAAACGAAGAGATAATTTAGCTGCTTAGCTGCCACAGCCGTCGGTTGGGTGTGTGGCACGAAGTCATTAACATTTACGACTTGCCCCATTGAGTTTCGGTTTCGAATCTGTTTATTTGAGACTGTGGCAGATACTGCCAGTCCACCCCAACCCCAATCCCGCACCCCACTCCTTACCGCCCACTACACACTCTGTGCCACATGCTTGTTGCATGAGCAGAGGAGCTGTACCTGAGGCTAGGCACACAGACACCCGACAGCTTATGAGCTGCTGCTCAGATATTCATGCGGCATTTTTGATGCCCGCCCACCTGGCCACGCCCTTGATATCATTAGGGCGGCCGTAATTAGCCAGATGATGGGTGACATGTGGGCGCGTCGAAGGAGCACTTAAATCAGAGCCCGCAAATTGGTATCTACACAAGCGTAAATTTATTTACCTCTGGTTATGCGTGTCCTGGCATGTCCTCCCATGTCCTGGCTGACTTTGATTTTCATGGGCGAGTCCTGCTCATGCTTTTTTGATTTATGTTACATTCGATTCGCTTCGTCTCGAGTGTAATTAGTGTCCTCTGCCCGTTATCCTGTCTGAGAGTGTCCTTTGAGCTACTTACCCAACGAAATTGCTTGCATTATGCATTTTAATACACGTGTTGCCTCTTGCATAATAAATGTTGCCTCGTCCGAGCTTGATTCTTAGAAGTTGATTGACTTGCGTAATTTGCAATTAGTTATGGAAATAAGCTGGTAATTGCGTATCTAAATTAATTCGCTTTTAGAGATTAACTTTAATTAAATTGTGAAATACTCTTTCACAAAATCAATTACATCTCGATATCATACTTTTTGTTTTTAAAGAAGCTTAATCCTGTAATATAATGCATATATGTAATATAATATAATGGATGCTAAAAATTTTTTTTTATTATTTTATTTGCTCAGTTTTTTTTAATTGTACTTTATTTTATTTTGTTTTCTTAATTTTTTTTTAATTTTACTTTTATTTATTTTTTTTTACATTTTTATTATTTTGTTTGCTTATTTTTTAATTGTACTTTTATTATGGGAACAACTTTGATTCAACCTTTATGATTATTCACAATGCAACTAATCATACGCAAAACGAGTCTATCAAAAATTTTCGATAGCCCATTTCCAAAATGTCGATAAATATCGATTTTGAGCCATAATTTAAAATCATAGCTCGAAAGTTATATATATACATACCAAGCACTTGGTATGTAGGTTCTCAGCGGGTATACCCTGTTTATGAATATTTCACTTTTTGGATAACGGCCCCAATTTGCTTAAAATTCGAAAAAATTTCCTCCTTTAAGCTGCAGCTTTGCTCCTTTGTTTATATACATATTTAGTTGGCAAACTTGGAGTCTAAAAATGTTCTAAAGATCGGACTGTAAACACCCGAGTTATTCAAGACCTTATTTAACATAGTTTGGGGCTGGATGCCTAACATCACCCAGACGGACTCTACCGACTAGAATACTCACTATAAATATTATGTCAACTCCACTCGAAAGGCTTATAAAAATACCCTACTGGTATTTAATATCTTGACAAGTGAGTTATCTGATTAGATGTGAATACTCATTAGGGGAAAATGGTATGGATATTGATTAATCCCCGTGGCGTGGCGTGGCGCATCACAGTGCAATCCATTATAAGTATATTCCCAACTATTTGCCTTCTACTTGGCCATAGTCGCTGGCATTTGGTGTTCGAATGTTGGCAACGCGGCAGATTCAACGTCGGCTCTACGAGCTCTTCGCCTATTATGCGATATTCATCGGGGTCACGAGCTATCGCTATGACTTTGAGCTGCGGCAATGCAGGAGCACGAGATGGACACGACTTGTCGCCAGTTTGGCGAATCTGATAATAGTGTCCGTCTCGCTTGTGGATTTGTTTGCCACCTGGTTCGTCATCGACGATATGGATCTGGTCACGGAGCAAACGGTGCGTCTGGATTCGACCGTGAACGACATCGTTTGCCTGGTGCGCGTGCTGCAACGTCTGCCTCAGGATCGGGCCTGCATTCAGATTGTGCTGCAGCTGCGACGCTTGCGGCGCATTCATCAATATGCCTATACTGGGCGGGAGTCGCAGCTGGAGCAGCGGCTGGAGCAGCGGCTGGATCGCATTTATCTGGCCAAGAATTGTGTTATGTGGGCGGAGGCCATCTTTCTACTCGCCTTCATGCTGATCGTCTGCCAGCTTGTGCCGCCAACTAATTTGTACGTGAAGCGGCTGCTGGTCATCCTAAATGTCCTGGCCATGGACGGTCAGGGCGTGGTCATGCATATGCATTTCCTGATCAACTGGCGCATCCTCCGGCTATATATGCGTCTCAATAGACGCCTCCGTCAGCTGCTCCACTCCGATTTCCCGGCAGTGGCCACCCTGGAGCTGCATCATCTGCGCTGGCAGCACGCGCAGCTGTCGGCGCTCATGGAACGCCTCACTTCGGCCTACAGCTTGACCATGTTGAGCAATCGCCTCTGTCTGATCGTCACGGCCGCCGCCCTCGGCTACTATATAAGCATATTTGGAGCCCATCCAATTCTCTATCAAATCGTTGGCTTCGGCTTTGTCGTCGTGCTTGCCCTGGATGGCTATATACTTGATCTGATCTCCGACTGGACGGTGAATTGCCATCGGGAGAGCTCCCGGCTGCTCGCCCAACATCAGCAGCTAGTAAATGCTGACAGGCAGCTCTCCAGAGCGGTAGCTAATCGAACTGCGTACATAGTCTATAGTATTTACTCTACTTTTTCTTTCAGTGTGACATTTTTGCGCTGCAAGTAGCCTGTTTTCCACTCAAGATCCAGCCCTTCGGCCTCGTTGAATGCGGCAAGGCGACTTGGCTGGGCAACATGGCCTGCATTATCGGCTGGTTGGTCGTGCTCTTACAATATCGCATCGTATTCGATAGTAAACATTGAGCAAGTGCGGGAAAATCTAATAAAAGCTATGATATTCAAATATCTACGAACAAGGTCTTAAACTATTGTATAGACATTGTTGTTGCTGATCAATGCTTTATAGCTTCCAATCTTAAGATCAAAATGGGTTCTACCTGGTTATACTATGGGTAAAGGCTGCTCATATAATATAAGTAGCTAGAAATAGAATTTTCAAAAGTTTTCCAATTTGCAGTATTTAAGGCCAATCCTTCCGTGCCAATGTAGCTCAAGCTGCAACTATTCCCTTTGAGCTTTTAGTATTGTATCAAAGGAACTCGCAGATATTTGTGTATCTCACTATTTATTTGATTTTTCTCAATTTTCATTCGGAAACGATGCGATATTGTAATTAGAAAAACTATCCAGGCGAATATGTAGGTCATGTTGCTCAGCCAAGAGGCCGCAGGCTCTGATCTTAAGTGGAAAACAGGCTGAAAACATATTACACTGAAAAAAATACCAACAACATTCGAACACCAAATGCCAGCGACTTTGTAGCCAAAGGTATTTAATGGGCCAAGTAGAAGGCCAATCAATAGTTGGGAATATATAATGTGGCACAGGGGATTAATAAATTGCAATATTATTATTATTAAAAATGAACGTAGAGGGTATAAAGGATTTGGGCTAATCAGATGGAACTACATAAATAATATATATACAAATGGATAAATAAATAAATTTAATAAATATATTCTCGATCAGGATGATGAGCTGAGTTGATCTTCAAATTACAAATTCATATTCTTCTACTCAGTTTCTATATAGAAATATAGCAATAAAAATTTTATCTGATAAAAGGTAGTTTATATCCCAATTCAAAACAAATATGCCCTTCTTTCTCTTGCTAACAGAGTATAAAAATAAATATTTACTGATTTCTATCAAGCTCGAACAGTCAACAGCAGATAATAATCAGGCAATAATTATTTTAATAAAACCTATTAACAATTGTTGCTGGACAAAGTCTGGCAAATACCCTACACTAAACGTGCGCTATTTAAGCGGGTAGTTACGACTGGAATGTAAATGTATTTTTGACATTTTATTTATATCTGATTAATTTAAGTGCAATTTAAATTAGTTTTTCTTTAATTGTACAGCTCTTAAGCCCAAAAGTAAGTGTTCCGATTTGTGGCATTAATTGTTGGCGAAACAAAGGTTCAATCAATTTAATCAATTGCCGCAAATGTTGCACAGCTGTTGATCATAAATCAAATAGCCGAATGCGTAACCGAAAACAAAGGGGAAAAGCCCAAGCCAAAATAGAAAAAAAAGTCAAAACTGAAACCATTTTAAGGCCTTTTCGAAACGCATATTGAATCACGTTCAAAGCGAATTCAATTAAAGTTGGGAACAACATTTCCGTCTGGCGGCCATTTTGTAGCACGTTGCACGTTGCCCAGTGGCAGGTGGCAGGTGGCAGGCTTGCACTTTTACGCCTCTGCTGTGCTGAGTTCATATCCGGTTTTAATTGCGGAAATGCACTTATGTCCGGCCTGGTCCCTGCGCCCCCTTTTGCCGTCCTCCACGCTTACACAAGCATGCGGGTCACGTTTGTGGCAGCAACTGTTCAGTTTCTGTGTCCACTTTAGTTGCTTTGTTATGAGCTATTATCCTGACGGACTTTGCCACTGTAGTTTTGTTAAAACGGGAATCAATTAAAATTACGGAGCCTCGTTTTGTTGCTTGCATAGATTACATCTGTGCGAAAATCTAACTTTGGAATGGGCCTTAATTCCCATAGATTTTAAAACTATACCCAATAAAAGTACAAACTCAAAACAGCAGCTAGTTGTTTTATTTAGCAATTTCAAAACAATTTTAAAAATTTTTTAAAAATATTTCACATATATTTTACTTTTTGAACTTGAGAAAAATGAAAGAAAAGAAAAAGGAGCAGAAAAACTAAGCCTCAAGCTCTTTTTTGTATGTTTTTTGTTTTATTTGTAAAAAAAAAAATTCCTAATTACATTTTTTGTAATATGATGATAAAATATACATAATTTTCAGACTCAAGTTTAGGAAACGAAAAATATATCAAATATATTAGAAGAAGGAAAATATTATTTATTTTATTTATTTATCAATTTATAATATTAATATTTTATTTATAGATAATATTATTAAATATTTTATTAATAAATACAATTTTAAAATATTATTATTAATAAACAATCAATTATTGTTATTTTAAACTAATATTATTAAATATTATTTAAATATCAAGCCAGTTAAAAAAATATTTTAAAAATGGAAAAGTCGTTTAAACCAGATTTAATTGTCAAAAAAAAAAAAACAGGCGTTGTTTAAAACTTTTCTAAAAACACGTCGGAATCTGTAAAGTGAAGTTAATTCTTAATTTGTATTTTATTTATTCTTATTTTTGATTTAAACTAAATTTGAAACATGATCGAAAATCAATTTTAAGAAGGAAATGCTTAATGTACGCTTAATATTCAATACACAAGTGCGAAGTTTATTTTAAAAAAAAAATAATATAGCTTATAAATAATTTGGTTTACAGCTTTAGCTCAACAAGTCGAACAAAATGATGAAATTTGTGCAAATTCTGCTGTGCTACGGCCTGCTGCTGACCATGCTCTTTGCCCTGAACGAGGCGCGCCCCTCCACAGCCGAGGCGGGCGCTGTAAGTAGACTTGACTTTGGACTTGCAACTAAGTAGAGACCTATGTCTATATCTATGTTAATTCCAGGATACGGATCCACTGGAGACACCGGACGTTGAGGATGTACGCGCCGCCGCCTACGCTGGCTACGAGATGCCCGCCCAGGCCATTTATCCCAACATACCCATGGATCGCCTCCAGATGCTCTTCGCACAGTACAGACCCACGTAAGTCTGATCTAGCTAGGTATTCTAATGCGGTATTTTATTGAATTTCCTTTTGGGATTGCAATTAGTTACAGCGCATATCTACGCACTCCCACCTACGGCAACATGAACGAGCTATACCGCTCGCCGGAGAGCAAGCGCCAGGTGAGATACAGACAGTGCTACTTCAATCCCATCTCCTGCTTCCGGAAGTAAGTTTCTGGAGAACAGCCAAACAGCAAAACCAACTAACCCAAAGAAAAAAATAAACAGCCCTTTGAAAAATTAACATTTCAAACTATAAACTAGCCTAATTCCAATGCCAATATTTAGTGCGATTAACTAAAGTTAAGACTCAGAATTCTATATAAATGTCTATTCAAATTTGTTTAACAGCAACAACAACAAAATGCTTCACATAAATATATATACTATTTAATATGATAATAAACTTTGCACATAAATGAGGTTTATGTTTTTGCACATGGTTTTCCTTTTAATTACGATCCTTTAACAAAAACCCTTTGCTTGCATATGGTGTGGTAAAATAATATACAATATTTACTTAAAAATATATATATATAGATATTTGCATAACTTAATAAACGTACATTAACAATATTTCGTTTTGTAAATTAAGTGTTTCAAGCTATTGTATAATACATATATACTATATACCATATATTGAAACCGAAAGGACACATGAATAGAGTCAAACACTTATATAACTATCTATGTAAAATATTAAACTATTAATAAAGTTAAATATATTTAAAAGAAATGCACAATTTAAATGCATTTTTAGTAAGCTTGTGTCACAATTGAAAAGTTGGCTCCTAGTTGGAAATGGATCACAGTCTTAGAGTTGAGTTTGAATATTCTTTAACAGTTGACTTTGAATATGTTAAAGAGTTCAGTTTTTCTCAATATAGCTCACAGTGAATCCCTGCTTTGAAAAAGTCTTGAACTTGTTTTCGAATATGTTCAGGATTTCTTTCTAGATAATATGTTTCTATGCTTTACTTAAATGTTTCGGCAATGTTCTTTAAAAAGTTTTTCAATTTACATTGTAGCTCAAATGATGAGTCCAAGTAGTCTTTATGGCACATTGTGAGTTTCTACGAAAGCCCCAAGTGTTTAATAGTGTACAAGTAAAAAAATATATTTATAATATTATATAATGCTGCATAACATTCACAGATGATCCATGCTCCGCTACCAGTTACTTAAGTTTATGCTCCAAGAGTTGTAGATTAAATTAGAGACTAAATTGACTGAATAATTAATACTGCGACTTATAGTTAGGCTGCGTTTTGGTGTGTTTCAAAGATGATTCCTTTTCGGGCGTCGTCCTAAACTGAGCTCGAATGGAAGATCCAAATACTTTTAAGTGTATGCTCCAAGAGTTCTCGATTAGATTAGAGACTATATTGATCTCATAAGGCTGCGACTTAGAGTTAAGCTGAGCTTTAGTGGGTTTCACTGCAGATCCCTGCTCGGGCGCCGACTATAACTTAGGATCTCACGTCCTCCAAGAGTATTTAGCTTAGATTAGCCTATATTAACTTTCGAATAATATGACTTATAGTTAAGCTGGGTTTTTCACTGAAGATCCCTGCTCGGGCGCCGACTGTACCGTGACTCAAGAGGAAGATTTTGCTGAGGCAACTTCTGGTCTTTCGCTATCACAATCCCAGGCGTCTCCGTTCGAGCTGCTGGCGCTTAACTTTGTCGCCGCGTCGCTTCATTTGCAGCACGAGGCGATCGGGTGTTGAGATCTTGTAGTCGCCATTACGTCCCAAACGCTGCTGGATGCGCAACGAGGTGGCCATCATAAAGATGGAGAACACGAAAGCAATTAGATACCGTACGACGAGCATGTTGCCTTATGCGAATGCAAACGGACTGCCTGCCCGTCAAATACGAGTGCCGGCTTTTATAGCCTGAGCCGGGGAGGCTTAGGCAGGAGCAGGTAGCTCAATGAGCGGGATTAGCTCTGGACTTTTCGGCAGCGTATCGCCAATGAAATGCGCTAATCCATTGGCCAATTTCCACTTCCTGCAAATGACAGCCAGCCAGCCGACTTTGGCTAATAACCGCGAGCATCATCAGTTACCTCTGATGGGAGCAACTGCAGCTCATCAGCAGCAGCCGGAGCAGCAGCAGCCGGGGCAAGCAACAGTTGCACAGTTCCAAGAAGCCGCAAACTCGACCCTGTCTGGATTTTTATGATGCCACAACGCATTTAACCATTAGACATTTTAATTGTTAATTTTGCAAAAATTTAAATAATGGACGCGCTGCAGGCAGATCTGGTTGGCCGAGCGCTACCTGCATTTATTATCTGCTCGCACTCCTCCCTCCCTCCCGCCGCCCCTCTCCATCTGTTGGCCTGCTGCATTTGCTCTCGACTCAAGTGCCATCAACGTAAAAACAAGTGGCAACAATTTTCTATAAATTGCATTTGCGCAAAATTAAGTTCAATCTTGGCCAGCTTCAGCTCCAACTTCCAGTCGCAGGTCCAGTTGAGCTCAGCTCCGGTAGCCGCATCCGCTGCACACCTCGTCGCTGCTGGAGTAGCCAAACTCCATTAACTTTGCAATTGGCCACCATAACTTTTAGCCGGGCGACGCTCGCTCACCTTAGTGCCAGGAGAGGAGGGGAGGGACGCGCATCGCTTGTTAGTTTTTGCGCCAGATCGTTTATAATAATTCGTATGCGAGTCATGTCATGGCCCCTAAAGTGTATCTGCGACTGCGCAGTCGACTTGGCAAACACGACGCGCATATCTGTATCTACAAGTTAGCTGCCTGCCTGCCTGCCTGGTTGGCTGCCTGGCTTGGCTTGGCCTGGCCTCTTGGCTCTGATCTGGTCAACTATGCAACCGCAGCGACTGTGTGGCAGCCACCGCCCGTTGCATGTGGCCTGCCTCTGACTTGGCTGATCTTGCGCCCATTTTTGCGCGCATTGCTTTGGGTCGCCACCGTTCGATGCCAGCTCCTCAGCAGCTACTGCTGCATCTCCACTCTCCTCTCCACTCCTCTCCTCTCCCCTCTCTCCAGCTTTAACCACTTTATGCTCTGTGGTTGCGCTGGTTGCGCGTTCTATTGGCCAAAAGGAAGTTAGAAAAATGCTCTGAATTCATGTGGGCACTGGCGCTGGCATTCGGCTGCAGCTGATTGCAGATCGCATTGCCCGGCGGTGGAAAGTTTCGAGTGCAGTTGAACGTATTGCCTCGGCCTATAGAACTTAGTTAGTTATACTAACTAAGCCAAGCTCTGCACAGTTCGAGCCTAAATAGCATATGCTCAGGTATAGCTAAGGACTAGATTTGGTAGTTAAATAAACTCAAGGGTTTATTCTTAGTTTGAAACTGTTTTATTTTATTTTTTAACAAAATTACTTTTACTTATTTTTCTGAACTGTTATCGATTTATAAATATTTAATCGATTTTGAAGGAGATTTTTCAATGGCTTGATAAATATAAATCGACTTTGTATATTTTAAACTTTTTTTGTTTTTATTAACATTTATCATTATTTATTAAAATGTTAATTATTTCTCTGAGCTGTTATCGATAACTATTCAATCGAAATCGGTAGAGTATTGAAGAAATATTATACTGTAAAGTATATATTATAAAGAGTTTTTGATACATTCAATATGTATTTTTAAAGGATAATTTATTTATTATTGCACATTTTTATTTAATTATTTATTCATATATATCTGAATTATTATCGATTTATAACAATTCAAGCGAGATTTGAAGAGAATTTTAAGTCTATTATAAAGTATAAGTATATTATATATATTTTTAAACAATATACAATTAGTATTATTTGCTTGAACTGTTATCGATTTTTGACAATTCGATCAAAATTGGTAAGGAATTTAAAGTACATGATATATATTAATCGATAATATTTTTACCATTATTTATCATTGTCGGAATTGTTATCGATTTATATCAATTCAATCGATATTTGACACTTCCTAAAGGCATTTTTACTAGCAAAGCTGAACTAATTTGATTACTTGCCTTTACTGTTATCGATCTTGGCTATTTAATCGATCTCCAGCAAGTTACAATCACATTCCTATTATGGCTTGCATTTTCTTTGTTTTTTTTTTTTTTGTTGCTGCTACGACTTTCTACAAATGTTGCCGCTGCCGCTAACCGCACCCTTCTCTGCGATTTTCAAATCAAATATTGCCGGTAATCGAAAACTTGACACTGCGATTATTATTATTTTATTTGTTTTTTTTTTTTTGGGTGCAGGTTCAAAGATTGTTGTTGGCCACGAGTCGCCACAAAAGGGCAGCAGCAGCAGCAGTAAGAAATATGAAATTCCAGCAGCTGCGGGACACCTGAGGTGGTCAAGGCGGGGCCAACAGCGATTGCCAGCTAACCGGTAGTTGTTGTTGTTGCTGCTGTTAGTAGTTGTTGGTGGCTCTAGACTTTGGCGGCGTCGTCTTCGCGGTCGTCGTCACCATGTCGTCGCTCTGGACATTGCCAGCAATGTTGCTCTTATTTCAGAACATGAACAACAGCAGCAGCAGCAGCAGCAGCAGCAACAACAGCAGCAGCAGCAACAACAAGTCGCATCGTTTGTACGGGTCGCAAGAATGCCTTAATTCAGGAATTTAATGAAAAATGCTCTATGAAGCGGAGCAGCAAATTAAAAAAGGAAAAACTTTTGCACAGAAGCAGCAACAGTCGCAGCAACTGGCATCAACAGCAGCAACAACGGCAGCAAAAAGGTTAAAATTAAAATCAAGGCAGCAACATCAACTGAGAACTTGGGCTCTTGATGGCTTTTTGCGCACAACAAACTGACAGTGTGAGATCGGTGGCAGGTGAGCTGAAACGGTTGTCCAGTTGACCAGTTGCCAAGTTGTTGCTGCTGCCAGTTGCTGCTGTTGCTGCTGCTGCGGCGACTGTTGCTGTTGCGCGTTGTAAATTACATTTTCCAAATGCTTTTGCCATGTCGTACCAAAAACCCATGTACATATGTGGAATCAGGCCGAACTCCTGGCTGCCCCTGGCTCTTGGCTTCCGTTTTGATTTGGAACACTTGTTGCTGCTGTTGCAAGTTGCTGCTGCTGCCAGTTGCTGCTGCTGCCTGCTGCCTGTTGCTGTTGCCTTGCTTTAGGATTTGTCCTGCGGCATGAAAATTCCTTGGGGATGTGTACACACACAATGTACACACATTTTGCTGCTGCTCTTTGGCTTCTGTTTAGTTGCTGTTGCTGTTGTTGTTGCTGTTGTTGTTGCTGTTGCTGTTGCTGGCGTTGCAGGGAGTTTGTGATTATGTTGTTGTAGTTTGTACAGATTGTTGTTGATTTGAGTGTTGATTGTTGTTGCAACATAATGCGGTAGGTGGGCAAAGGCCTTCCTCTTTGATTAAACCGAATGAATTATGTGCGTCTGCATTTGCTGTGCCCCTGTGTGTGTGTGTGTGCCTCTGTGTGTGTTAAGTTGGAAATGGTTTTAGACAGTGGGTATTATTGGATTTGCTTGTGTTTGCAACAGGCGTCAAGTAGATTATGGCTTACAGCTGGTTTAGTTGCAATTTCGTTGACCCCGGTCAGACAACCCGCTTAAACAAATCTAACCTAACCTCACTTTCTAGCCTAACCTCACTTTCTAACGTAACCTCACTTTCTAACCTAACCTAACTTTCACTTAAGCTAATTACATTAATTAATTACATTAACCAGAAAATATATTGTTGCTGGTTCGGTTCGCGCTTCCACAAAAAATCCCTGTCTCTAGTTTTTGTTCTCAAAGTTAGTTTTCTTTGCACTTAAATCAAAACTGATTCAAAGATTGCTTTAAGCTCTTTTTTTTTAATTTTTTAAAAGCCCGTTGTATTGAAAATATCGGAAATTCTCAATATTTTTATATGCAAGAAGTGGGCGAGATTTGAGCCCTACCCAGAATTGGCATCTACCAATTATGGTTAGATAAAGCCAATAATTGGGTCCAAAGTTATTTATACTTTGGGACTGTGTATTTCGACAAAGTTTTATCTATTTTGGTTTCTGGTTTCGGTTTGTTTTTTTTTTTTAAATCTGGTTTGACTAAGGGTTCATTGAGAAATAATTTGGAGATCCTAGTTCAAACAGCTTCCGTTCCCAGTTTTGTTTTAAAAACTTTCAAGTATATTTTATTTTTGTAATTTCTTAATTGAATGACAATAGAAAAGAATTGAATATATTACAAGATTAATATCAATAAATACATTAGATAGATAGATAGATAGATAGATAGAGTCATAGAACACGTAGCGTATTGAAGCATTTCGGAATCAAACATTTTTAATTAAAAATTTTGATCTTAGGTTAAAAAAATCGAGTTTGAGTTTAACAACCTTTGTACTTGATGTGAGCATACAATTCTTTAATATTATCCGAATGTGCGTGCCACATTCGTATTTAATTGCAAGTTTCTTTATTTTGTAGTAACTAAACACATAGCTGGGCTGATCTCGGGGTTTTTCTTTTTGATGCAAATAATAAACAATTAGACTTTTCTGACCCACAAAAAAAGCAAATTTGTGTTTTTAAGACTTGAATTTTAATTTGTGGGGTTCAAAAAATCTTAAGCTCGTAGTTTTTTCCCTAAAGTTAATATAAATTCAAGTTGTCTTGAATATTATTATAATTTGATTTAAATTAAAATTTTATTTAATACATAAATTTTTTATGAGTGTATATATAATATTATCCCTCGTCGATCTTTGCAGCTATTATATTTGTATACCTTTCTAGAGGATATTGTAACTTTGTCATGAAATGTGTAACGCATAGTAGGAGACATCTCCGACTCCGTAAAGTATATATCTTCTAGATCAGCATCAACAGCCGAGTTAATATAACCATGTCCGTCTGTTTCTATACGAACTTTCTGCATTGTAATGTTTTATATATATTTTATTTTATATTTTATATGTATATCATATAGCTGCCATAGGAACGCTCCCCCGAAAAGTTGGTTCTGATATGGACACCTTTTTTTATATTAAGATAAGTTTTCCATGATATATGATCTTCATATACAAATCTTATCAACATCGGACCACTATATCATATAGCTGCTATAGGAAAGATCGGCGGAAAAGTAGTATTTTATAAGGCAAATTGTTCCGTTTTCAAGGGTATTACATTTGCGGCTTTCTTCCTAGTTAAAAGAAAATGTGATAAAATAAGCTAACTGATATGAAAAAAAATTAATATTTGAAGAAGAAGAAACCAGCTCAATATTGTATTATAAGAATTTTATTTATATTTCATATAAAAAAAAGGGAAAAACTAAAGCTATGTCACATTTCTGATACTTTTACAACTTGATTGTTAAGCCAAAGCTCGAGCTCTGAACTTTGAACTCTGGAGTAGGCGCTGGCTAGAACATGGTCTCCGGCTCGATGATCTCGTAGGTGGACATGGGCAGCACCTCGTTGCTGTAGTAGTTGCCGCCGCCGGGCGATATGGCCAGCTCGGGATAGACGGAGGAGCCGGGCACCTGGTAGAAGCGTCGCAGGAACGAGCTGCGCCACAGCTGGGCGGGCGGCGGATTATAGAAGGCGTGTCGCTGCTTGTAGAAGGCGCCTCCGACGACGGGAGAGGGCATGGCCGAGATTTGCTGCACCATATCATTATTGATATAGTCATCGTTGGGCTGTCCATCTTCCTGGGAGCTCACCTCGTTGAGGGCGGGCGCATCGCTGGGTCGGCCGAGCACGAAGCTGGCGAGGAACAGCAGCTGCAGCTGCAGCAGCAGCAGCAGCACAGCAAAGCATCTGAAGCTGGACATCTTGACGGGCTGGGTGTCACGCGGCGAGTGTCTGTCCAAATGGTCGGTCGACTGGGCTTATATAGTATATGTGGGCGGCAGGTAGACAGGTGCAGGCGAGCTGTGCGGGCGTTAAGCGATTTCTAATGATGCCATTTAGGGGATTAGGGGACAGGACAGGACAGGACAGGACTACCTGGCAGCTAGTTAGGCGGCCAGACGAAGTCACTTAAATGCAAATCCCCGAGCAGCCACAGTCAATATATCAAATGCGTTTGCCCATTTACCATGTTAATCAAACAACGAAATCCATCAACAGGTGACACGGACGCGGCTGCAGGTGGAGGCCACGATGGCCACCAAACGCAGCCAATCCCCCAGACATGTCAGTGCGATAATGGTGCTCCTCGTCTGAAAACAACTTCATTCACAAAAATCTGTACAAAAAGAAAATGAAGCAGCGGCCAAAGGAAGCGAGTCCCATTAAAAATATCTTGCGGATGCCAAAGAGCTAAAGATACATTCGACGACGAAGGCAGGTTGCTGGCTAGGGGCGTGGCGTGCAGGGGGGGCGCAGTCAACAAGTCAGCTACTTGACTACTTGGCTACTTCTTGCCACAATACAGCAGCCGCGGGGGCGTCGCCAAGGGGGCAGGGAACGCGGACTGCAACTGCAACTGCGACGGGGACTGGGACTCGGCCTGGGCTAGCTTGGATAACGCTTGGCAACATACGCCTAATGCCACAGACATCGACATCCGCCATTTAACTTCTTAACCCCCCAGCGGGATTTGTGTCTAAATTTATGCACAGCCATTTGCTCAAGTTGCAGGAATACAAATATGAGAAAATCAAATAAAATGAAACATAAGAAAAAAAAAGAAGTGAAAAATGCGTGGAAAAAAATATATTTAGCTTATGCTTAAGGGTTAAAGCTGATATAAATTGATATTATTATTAAAATGTATTTATTTATAATAATTTTAAATCAGAAAATATATAGTCTGATATAATAATATACTATAATATAATATAGTATAAAATATGTAGAACCATCTCAGCGGAAATTGATTAATATGAAAATTTCCTTTAATCTATGATTAGGTTGTTTTCTGATAATCATATCAGAACTAGTTACATGAATATAGATTTAACAAATGAACTGTTTCCATTGACTGCTAAGAAAAACAAGTTTTCGAGCCTTGAGTTAAACTCTTTGCTTTTTTTCTACTATGCACCCAGCCAGAAGCAAATCAAAAATATGCGAACCAAAGCCTATAGTCGAAAAGATTTGGTTCAATTCAAAATTTATTGAGACTTTTGCAAAGTTTTTATTTTGAGACTCGTAAATTTAATCTAAAAATAATAAATTAAATAAGTAATATATAGTATAGATAACTAACTAAGCTAACAGTTTGGTACTAGTCTCAGCTTGTTTTTTTTTGTTGTCCATTGTAGGGTTAAGCTGAATTCGTCTAGGCTGCTGCGCAGTCGCGGCTGTCTACATTTGTCTGGCTGCCTACAGCAGCCGCAGTCGCAGTCGCAGCAGCAGCAGTCGCGGCAGCAGCAGCAGCGCGCGGCGTTGTCTTGTCCGGCCTGCAGTTCGGCTTGGTCAGCAGTCGGCTCGATTATTGGACGTCCAGCTTTCAATTTGCAACATAAAGCATCTTCATCGTGGGCCGCATGAATGGGCACAGTCAGGGGGGGGGAGTGGGGAGGGGGCTGGGGCTGGGCGTGGGGACATGCTGGGGCAGGTGGGGCGTGGGCTGACTAGCTGAAATAGCTGCCTAGCTGCCTGGCTGCCTGCCTGCCCATCACACTGCATTGGCATTGGCAGCAGGCACTCAGGCGTGCCGCGGCGGTAGTCGCTGACCTTTATTGATTGCTGTTTGACCTCGGCAGCAATTGTTGTTGCTGTTGCTGCCGTTGCATCTGCAGCCATTTGTACTTGGCCGATCGCAGGCGTAGATTATACAGCAGCAGCGGCAGCAACAACAACGACGCCCACAAGCAACGGCGACGTTGACCGCGACTGCGACTGCAACAGCGACAGCGGCGTTTTGCAGTTGCAGCTTTGCCGTTTTGCTTTCTGCCTTTGTGCGCAACCTTCATTGTTGCTTTTTCGCTATTGTTGTTGTTGTTCCATTACTTCGTTCATGGCAGTTAATTTATATTCGATGCCATCTCTCGCGCTCTCTCTCTCTCTCTGCCACTCTTAATGTGCGCTTTTTGCTGCTGCTTCCTTTTGATGTGTTTAGCTTAAGGTCGTCTCTAACTGACAGCAGCAGCCGCGCAGCGGCAGCGCAGCGGCAGCTTCGTCATTGACGCCTCTTCTTGTACTTCAGCTCCACTTGCATTGCATGCAAAGCAAAGCGTGTCAAAAGAAAACAATGAAGAGCACAAGAAATCACAGCACACTTTCAGCATTGGCGTATCGTGTAGTTTGTTTTGTTTGACAGTTTTCATCTGCCCCCCCGGTAATATTAGCAGCGGCAGAAGCCGACGTTTTGGTTTATTAATTGTTTTCGTTTTTTGTTGGAGAGTAAGAGACGGAAAATTAATTAGCAGATTGTCGTCTAGATTTTTGTGTGTGGTAAGAAGAGAATTTATAGCTTAGCTTATGTATTTGAAAGCATCTCTATACATATATGTACATTAACGCATATGTATTCTCACACACACATGGACACCGAAAATCTCCAAAGAGTCCTTTGCGTAAACTCTCCCATCCATCTCCCACCCCTAAGGCAGCACAATTTAGACTTACGGCACGACTAAGCTTAAACAACAGTTAATCAATTTCTATGTATCAAAAAACGCACCTATATTTACTCTTAATTGAAAAGAAATCAAAACTCTTTGCAGTTCGAGCGCAACCCAAGCGCATAATCATTATAATTAATAATTATAATAACAGTTGATCGTTACACAGAGCAAACAACCTGCTGCATTAAAATCTACAATTGCTCTTTACCCTCTACACACGCACTCTTAAAACGACGCTCTTACGCCCATTGCCACGATATTCATTCATCTAAAATACTCAACACACACACACACACACGCAGACGCGGACACACATGAATGCTCCACGAAGTGCATTGGGCACACGAGCCGAACCCGGCACGGCCTCCACACAGCAGAGATGGAGACAAAGCCGCCGCGATCGGCAGCGAGCAGCCGTCAGTTATATTTGCGACGCTCTCGAGTGCGGGTCGTTAACGGTTGTGGGGCGCAGTTTATGCCGAGTGGCGAAGGCAAATAAGAAAAAAAAAAAACAATACAAAAAATAAAAATAAACAAACAAACAATAATAATAAACGTAATTTAAACAATTAATCAAAACGCGGCGATCAATGAAACTTATACAAAAGCAACAACAGCAGCGACAAGTGCCAGTGAAATTATTGTACTTAATTTATATGTACAAATAGTGAGAGTGTGTGTGTGTCAGTGTATATGTGTAGATTTTTATGCATACATATGTGTGTATGTGTGGGAAGCGGCTTTATCAATTGCTCCACATAAAATTTCATTGAAGTGTTTGACAGCAGCAGCGCAGCAACTACATAAAACTAACGGCAACAGCGGCAGCGCAGGCGACGTCTGCTTAAAACGGTAATTAATACAAACACACATTTGATTTGGCAATAAACAAATGATTCAGCAATTGTCAGCAACTGTAAATTGTAAAACACTTGCTGCGCTCGCCGCTCTGATTGAACTGCGTTAGCGTCGGCGTCGTCGTCGTCGTCTGCGTTGGCGGTGACAAAGCTTTTGCTCGAACGCATGTTTGCAATTAGTCTGCGTTATTATTGTTTGCTGCCGGCGTTAACGCCGACGGCGGCAGCGCGGACGTTGTCGCTGTTACAAAGTAGCACGCGCATAGACATAGAAAAAAAATTATTAAATGCTTGCGCGTGCTCTCTCTTTAACTTACGCTCCCCCGCAGTCAAAGCGTAAGAGCTTGCTTGCGTGCTCTCTTGAATGTGTGTGTGTGTGCATGTATTTTGTTACGTGTTTGCCTTTACGCCTTTTACATACCCTTCACATTATTATTTGCCATTTTGTCGCTTTCATTAATTGGCCCGTGTAAAACGGCAACGCCGACGGCGACGGCGGCTACCTGACACGGCAGCTTTTGTTACTGCTATCAGAAAGCACAGTAACAACATCGCTGCCGCCGCTCTTGAGTGCCACTCACCCTCGCCCGCTCGAGCGCGTTCTCTCTTGCTCTTTCGCACTCTTTTACACACTTGTTGCTTTCGCATTGTTTTTACTGTTTTTAAGTGGCGCTCATATCCGGCGCTTGCTTTGCCTGATAAGCGCACTTCTCTCCCTCTTCTCTTTGTTGTTGTTGCTGTTGTTGTTGTGTGCGCTACCTGTCTGCATTTTATTTGCACATTTCTTGTCTGACTTTTCTTTTTTTGCTTTGTTGTTGTTTTATTTTGTGCATTTGCTTTTGGCTCTGGCTTTGTTCTGGCCAAGTGAATCAGTTCTCAGGGCGCCTAATGCGCAACTGTTTTTTTCTTCCTCCCAAATTGTTCATAACGTGTGTGTGTGTGCCTGTGTGTCTGTGTGTGCCTGTGAGTGTGCTTAATGTGTGTTAGCTTTAGCAAAACATTTTTCACTTGTTTTACAGTTTTCAAGTGGTGCACGATACGCTGACAACGCAATTGGAACGTTAACAGTTCCAGGACGAAAGCTTTATATTAACCGTTAGGCGCTGTAAGTTTGATAAAGTGAGGTTATTTACGTTTCCGCGCATATTCCGATGCGATTTGTCAACGAATTTGGCAATAAGAGGGTGGATCTCTATAAAAACTTGAGTGTTTGCTAGAAAATGTGCTGTTACTTGATTTTAAACAAGAAGTAAATGAAGTAGAGTTGTTTATCTATGAATTATAAGTTATTTATCATTAAAAAAGGTTTTGAATGAAGCTTCTAATCAAAAAGAATGCGTAAAGGCTTTTGGAATATAATTTTGTATTCATAATTTAGCTATAAATTAAATATAGTCC